AGAGTAAACAGGAAGTTGGTGAAGGCTGTGGCAGCAGCCAGCCAGATGGCCATCTGATCATCCTGTACTCCAGACATCTGCAGTATGGTGGCGCTGTAGTACCTGCAGCGTTCAGAGAGATCATTTGATTCCCTTAAAATAGACAGTACTGTTACAACATTAGTAACTGGAGTCCTAGGTAATGTTCAAAATTGAATGCTACCACACTAATAAAGCTGTTTCCACAGTGCGCAGTATATATAATGTAGACAGTATGCACACTACTTTTGAAAGTTTACACTGTTCTATATTATTTCACATACTATGGAGGCTTGCAACTTTTTATCTCATAATTCACTTTTTTTCTCAGAATTGTGGATTAATATCTTGCAATTGAAAGTTATAATTATAAGTTCACATTTCACAATTGTGTGTGTGTGTGTGTGTTTTTAAGGTAAAGTAGAGGTAATTTTTAAGGTAAAGTTAATTCTGACTTTTTTCTCGCAATTCGGTTTTCTTTTCTTACAATTCTGACAACTGTGATAAAAAAGTCAGAATTGTAAGATAAAAAGTTTACACCTCGTAATTTTGTTTTTGTTTCCACCACTGAATAAAAACATTCTCACAATTCTGACCTTTTTCTCGCAATTCTGACTTTTTTTTGAGAATTGCGAGAAAAAAGTCAGAATTATAAAATAAAAAGTTGCATTTCAATTCTGAAATATACTGTAGCCTTAAATTACGATAATGCAAGTACGATAACGACAACAATAGCGTTAACTAGGGATGCACTGATTGGATTTGTTTTGGCCGATACTTATACCAATTTTAACAAACAACTATTGTTCAATTAAGATACCGATACATGTCACTTGCTCACTTATTTAACTTTTTTTATCATGCTTTACGTTAGCAAAGTTCAAAAATGCATGCATTAAGGTAATCTAGCTAGTTTACTGCTGATGGCAATAAATTGATAAAAAAATTTAAAAAAAACATTGATAAATACTGACGGCCGACACATTGGTGCATCACGGCTATAACAATAACGCCACAGAGGAACGACAGCTTTGGAATCACTTTCAGAACTATTTTTCTAACTGATGAATGATAAAAATATTGACAGCCAATCAGAATCCACCTCACTTTAAAGGGCTTAAGTATTTAAAACGGCAAACAACAACATGACAGCGCACGCTTATAATAAACAGAACGTTATCGTGTGGTGTTGTGGACGCTAATATACTTATCGTTAAAGTTATTGTTCTTAGTGTGACCAGGCCTTAGTCATATTACAGGGAGTCATATGGGTAAAGTGTTGATAAAGTCAAATGTGTTCTAGTGACCTACATGACCGTATTGATTCCTGAGAGCTGCTGGAACATCTGTAGGCCACAACCCACGATCAGAGCACGCCGTGTTGGAGCGAACGTCAGGATACGCCACAACACTGGACCCTCTGGAAGACAAGCAGTCCATCCATCCATCAATGAAAATTATACACACATTTTTGACAAATTAATTTCTAGTTATTTTATGATTACTTGATTAGGTTTTTTCAAATAATTTTGATTCTGGTTCAGTAATGACAAATTTCCTTACAATTAAAGCATAACTCTAACTTCAGGTTCAACTTCTTGTTTTTTTTTTAGGATTGAATCACTTCATTGTATTCCTCATTTATAAGTCACTTGGATAAGCCTCTTCTAAATGAATATACATGTAAACGATTCACTCAAGCTGATTCAAAAGAATGATTCACTGACAAATCTGATTTCACTATGGCCTGGAAAACACAATTTCAGAAATGTAAGATATTTCCAGGTTTTCCGTGATGCTGGAAACCCTGAACTCAGCACCGTGTGTGTGTTGTGACGTCTGCATGATCTCACCTCCAGCATCAATCTTCTCCTCCTCAATGCTGCTCCGTATGCTCTCATACTCTTCATCCACATTTACACCGCCACGGATCCGACTGAGCACCAGCCGAGCATTCTGGGTATCTCCTTTCTGCAGGAGCCAGCGAGGACTCTCCGGGAGGAAGAGGAACCCCAGGAACTGCAGCGCAGCAGGAACAACTGACAAACCCAACATATACCTATACACGAACACAAAAATAATTCAAAAATGATCGCAAAAACCAGGTCCTTATGAAGCACATTTGTACCTCATTTTTATCTCACATTCACATTCTCTACTTCTCCTGCACAATGTCTGAATATGTCTATTTTTAATAATATTTGTAGTTACATATAAATGTTTTTATACATATTTAGGTATAAGTAATATGTATGTATGTGTTATATGTATGTAATATATTTATATTGTTATATGGTGGTTGCCAGGGTATTGTTATGCAGTAGCTGAGGTGTTCTGACAGTTTTTGTTGTTTTATGTAATTATTTTATACACACACATATATATATATATATATAACGCACCAGTGTTTTTATTGTTAACTGAAACTAAATATATTAAAGTTTGTTTTTGTTCATTGAGCAATAAACTGGAAATAAAATAAAACAAAAAAAATGGAATAAAATAAACAGAAATAGATGAAAATCAATCAGATGAAAACTTAAATGAAAATTAGAAATGATGCTTTGGCAACTAACTGAAATAAAATAACTTTAAGTTGAAGTAATAAAATTACTAAACTTGATATAAAAATAATAAAAAATGACAAAAGCACAAAACAAAATTACTAAAATTTAAACTAAAAATAAAATGAAAACTGAATATAAAAGCTAATTCAAAATATCAATAAATTCTATGATAGTATTTAAATAAGACTAAAATAACACCGTAACATCTCTCCCCAAGCGGCATGAGCCACTGGATTCATTTTTGCATATTTTGTATTAGTATTGACTACTTATTAAATATAATTTGCATATATTTTATTTAAAAATAAATTATTAATTTATTTGTATTAAATTATTTTTAAGTTTAATTATTAAAACTTTATTTATTTTGTTTTTATTGGGTTGCAGCAAAAATATACCAGTAGCACAATAAAATCTGAAAAGAAGATTGATAATGTTTTATGAAAACAGATTTAAGAGGTAAAACTTCCGTTTTTACTCACCTCCAGCCGTCATGGGGCAGGTAGCTAAAGACCCCATCCACCACGCTAGCTACGAACTGGCCACCGGTGATAAACAGGGTGTTAATGGTGACCAGCTGACCTCGGAGTTCAGAAGGTGAAACCTCAGCGATGTAGACTGGCACGGTCATAGATGCAATTCCTAACACACAAGACATAAAAAACAATAAGGCACACAAACTGAATTCAAACAGTTTTACATACACTGTATATGACTTACCTATCCCGAGCCCAACCGTAAGCCTTCCACACAGAAGAACCTCTTTGTTGTGTGCGACGCTCAGGATGATTCCTCCAGCAGAGAAGATGAAGCTAGCGAGCAGTATGCAGATTCTCCGGCCGTAAAGTCCGTTGAGATACCCTCCAGCCAGAGAGGAAACGGCCGCGGCACCAACAGTGATGGACACCAGCAGCTCCTGCCACAGAGAGCTGAGGTTCATCTCCCTCTTGAGCAGGAGCATGGCTCCAGACACCACTCCTGTGTCATAGCCAAACAGGAATCCACCCAGAGCCGAGAAAAAAGCCAGGGTGTAGATGAAACATGGAGAGCCGTGCTGGACTGAGCGGATCTGATGTGTGGACGTGGGCGAGTCATGTTCTTGGTTGTTGGCCTGGACATTAGACGGTGTATTTATCAAGCTCCTCTCGTCCTCAACAACTCTCCCGTCTCCTATCAGCTCCTCCATTCTCTGCAGCTTATGGACATTGTCTCCTAAATCACAAAGGAAACACCTTGAGATCATCACATGATCAACATTAACAAAAGCCATATAACCCAACCCAGCATGACCACGTTGGCAATATTGCACACACTTCAAACCATCACAGTGAAACATCTGCAAATCTTTCAACATATAGAGACTTTTATGAGTGGTTTGTTTATAACACATGCACTGTACAGCAAACTTAATCTGATTTTGTGGAAAATATCATACAAGCACTAGGTTAATGTAACAATACTGTATACACATTCTACAAGCAGTGATTCGCGAGCGAATTGTTCTTCTGAATCGGTTCTCTCTAATGACTCAGTTGAACCGATTCGCATTTTTGTTTGTGATTGTGAATCACTCGTTTGGCATTATTTATGCAACGCATTTTACCATAACATGGTGGAATACAGTGTATTATAACACACAGACACACGCTTAAGTGCCACACGGCGGATGTCTGTGAACTGAGTACAATGAATCAGTGAATCAATTTCGGATTCGGTTCGTTGAAGAGAGCCATTCGAACGAACCGATTTGCCGAAATGAATTAGACTTTTCGGGTCTACAGCACAAATCCCACAATATATAAAGGAGGCTCTACGACGCAAGCTAGCGAAATCGCCTCATTTTTAGAGGGTCGTACAGAGTAAAATGTTGCATCGACTGTTAACGCAGCGATATCTCGGGCTTGTATTTATGCATGCATTTAGTACATCAAGAATACGTCGAAATTAAAAAGTGTCGCGAAATACATTTTACGTTTAGAATGCTTTTGAAAGCTTATTTTTATATTCATATTCTTATAATATTGATTCATAAAACATGAAAATGCACAACTTCCTTTATGTACACAGACATCTACTGTAGCAATAGCTAACGCGTTTTAAAAATAAATAATATAATATACGTGTCTCGTTACATACATATGCATGTGAGTAGCTTCAAATTGGTATATTTTCGTTCTCCTTCTGTAACCTACCAGCAAGACGCTTTTCTCGGTGTCTTTGCTTTGACAAGGGACTCGATCGTCCTTCCTTCTCTTCTTGCTTTCACTCTGTTGTGCTCGAACAGGAAGTTTGTGAATTGTTGCAGACAGTCATATGATTCATAACGCAGCGCCGATCTACAGCCGCGAGCATGACCGAGATTTCTTCTTTTCACCGCCGAGAATGAAATCGGGAACTAAAGCCTAGTCACATCAATCTTTACTCTATCATAACTCATGTTCTGCTTTGCATAAACATGGCAGAAGAGCTCGCGCGCTGTGAAACAGATGATGACCTGCAGCAGCAACATTGTGTCCACATGGTCAGTGAGTATCAGGAGCTGGTTTAAACTTCTGTTTGATGCCAGATAGTAGAAGAGCATGGCTGATAAAGAGGAGCTAGGGATCAGGCTGAAGAAGCTGCTGGTGAGGTTGAACCTTCAAGAGGGGAAGCAGATGGGCACCATGGTCCAGATTATGCAAGACCTCCTGTTCCTGTCCCATACGAATCACTGTGGTGAGTTATGACCACTGAAAGACGAAATGTGTTTTCCAGTGGGACATCTGCTCAGATATTTTTAGACTTGTGTCCTTCTGTTGTCCTGCAGTTGAGCTGTTTGCCGATCAAAACGTCCATATGCCTCTGATGCTGGTGTTGTCATCGCATTTCAACAACAAAGTCCAACAGGTAGTCATCTTTTATTTCGCCTGCACAAATTTCCTGGCAAATGCTTAATAGTTCATCTGAAATTCCAACATTCTGTCATCATTTGAATGCCCTCTCGTGGTGTTCCAAACCATATGACTTTCTTTATACTGTGGAATGGAAAAGGGAGATATTTAGAATAATTTTCATGCTGCTCGTTTCCATATAATGGACGTGAATAGGGACTGAGATTATCAATCTCAAAATGATAAAAAAAGCACCTTTAAAACAACATAAAGGTCACGTCATTTGCACAGTTCGTGTGCTCATGTTTATTCCAAGTTTTCGGTCATTTTGAATTTAAGTCATAATTTGTTGAAAATCCCATTTGTGCTTGGGCACACTCTTAAAAATAAAGGGTTTCATAACAGTGCCATAAAAGAACCATTTTTAGTTCCGCAAACAAACTTAAAGTGAACAGTTTTTAAAAGAACCATTTGTTATTCTTAGTGTGAAGAACATTTAAAATCATCATAAAAATCTAAAGAACTTTGTTTTTATGAAAAACATTTTTTGTGCAATAGAAAGGTTCTATGGGTGTTAAATGATCTTAATGGAAGCATAGATGCCATTACACGGTTTCATTTTAAGAGTGCATGTTCAAATGTGAAAAATCATCTTTGAAATCAATGATAATTATTTGTTCTAAATTATTAAAATAAAAATTAGATTAAATATGATTAAAAATAATATATACAAATATATAATAAATCTAAAAATAATATATTTTATATTATTCAATATATATATATATATATATATATATAATATTTATTTATTATTTGTAAGATATACACAGTATATATTTATATATATG